GGCGGATGGGGGGGCGGATGGGGGGGCGGATGGGGGGACGGATGGGGGGACGGATGGGTGGACGGATGGGGGGACGGATGGGGTTACGGATGGGGGGACGGATGGGGAAAAACAATGTTCAGGCAAGGAGTAACGGATTCTTTTGAGGCGCCTGAGATATCTCAAGCCTTGAGCACTAAAATGCAGGTGACATTCTCGCTAAAGCAAGGGAATTAATCGGGAGAAAGAAGGGGGGAGGTAGGGTGGGGGGAAGGGGGAAGCGGGGAAGAGGAGGGGAGTTCAGGGTTGGAAAGACAGCGTGGTAGTGAGAGGGGGATTCCTAAAATGGAGACAACAGCGCGATTGTTGGCGGGGAGTGGGAGGTGGGCGTTTGAGTGTAGTGCAATAACCCATAATCAAGGCATGAAATTCCATTGCTACAACTATAGAAAAGTAGCAAAGCACCTTAAAATTGTTGGTTTTGCGAATACAACAAAGCACAGTACCAGTACAGTGCCTCATCAAGAAACGAATTTCATTTACTGAGGTAGCTCAAACAAAGCACCTGAAAATGTTGGTGCGGATGTAGCCGGGTGTAACAAGCACAACACCGATCCCCAGAGGTTTCATTTCCACGCGCATGCAGTTGGTAACCGCGTTGAACGCCGCCTTGCTGCTCCCATACGTCCCCACGAAGGGCCTGCCAAACACATGCAGTGCGAGGGGGGGTTCCGAGGGGGTGGGGGTGGGGAGGGGGGAGGGGTGGGGGGGGGTAAGTGGTTTTATGTCCACGCGCATGCAGTTGTTGATTGCGTTGAACGCCGCCTTGCTGCTCCCGTACGCCCCAACGAAGGGGCTGCTCAAGCAATGACAGGTGGGGTGGGGTGGGGGGGATGAAATGGTTTTCTTAGGTGGCTGGAGTTGGTAACCGCGTTGAACGCCGCCTTGCTGCTCCCATACGTCCCCACGAAGGGCCTGCCCAACACATGCAGTGCGAGGAGGGGGGGATCAGAGGGGGTGGGGGTGGGGGGGGGGGGGGGGGGTAAGTGGTTTTATGTCCACACGCATGCAGTTGTTGATTGCGTTGAACGCCGCCTTGCTGCTCCCGTACGTCCCCACGAAGGGCCTGCTCACAACATGCAGCGCGGAGGGTGGGTTAGGGAGGGGGGAGGGGAGGGGGGGTGGTGGGGTGAATAGTTTCATTTCCGCCTTTGGTGATTGCGCATGCAGTGGTGATTGCGCATGCAGTGGTGATTGCGCATGCAGTGGTGATTGCGAATGCAGTGGTGATTGCGCATGCAGTGGTGATTGCGCATGCAGTGGTGATTGGATCCAGCGTCGGCTTGCTACTGCCATACGACCTCACTAAGGGCCTGGTCACAAAATGCAATTAGAAAGAAAGCGGGCGAAATAACACAAGGAAGTAAGGAAGCAAGGATGGTTCCTTTTCTCATGCCGCTCTGATTCTTGTGCTTGTGGGGGGGACACTGCAATGCCACCACACCTGTAACTGTAACCACCCCACCTGTACGTGTAACCAGCAACACTGGAAACGTTGATGATTCGCCCGCTCCTCTGCTTGTGCATGTAGGGAAACACTGCCTGGGACAACGCCAATGCTCCAAACAGGTTCGTGTCATACACCTGGAAAGCGCGGAGAGGGAGGGAGAAGGGAGGGAGAAGAGAGGGAGAAGGGAGGGAGAACGATTTGCCTGCCCTTGTGCTTGTGTGTGGTTCTTGAGTGTAGGGAGAGACAAGCCAGCCTGTCGGCATGGCGTTTTGAGTAGGGAAATACTTGAGAGGCAAACTCAAAACTTCTTGAGAGTAGGGAAAGGGCGAGCCAGCCTGTCGGCATGGCTTGCCGTTGCGCTTTCGCATCAATGCAAAAGAAAGACCGTGGGAAAGTGCATGGCTTGTGAGAAGAGAAGACAGCGCTGATGCTCCGTGTGCGTATCCAGTGTTACAAGTAAACATGGTGGCGCTTCATACGGATCGTACGTACACATGCAAGGGAAGAGGGCGGGAGAAGAGGGAGACGGAGGAGAAGAGGGAGACGGAGGAGAAGAGGGAGACGGAGGAGAAGAGGGAGACGGAGGAGAAGAGGGAGATGGAGGAGAAAGAAGGAGGATTGGGGAGCGGAGAGGGGGAAGGGTAGGTGTGGGGGGAAGAAGGAGAATCTTGCATTTGATGGCAAAGAGGCTGTATAAGAAGGTCGTATAAATGTTTTGATCTAATGAGTTGTTTTGTAAGAAGCAGCCTTGCCCATTCTCCCTTGCTCCCTTCCTCATCCCACCTTTTCATCCCGCATCATCATCGTGCCTCCTCATCCTACCTCATTGTACCACGGTTACCGCATTGTACCACGGTTACCGCATTGTACCACGGTTACCGCATTGCACCACGGTTACCGCATTGTACCACGGTTACCGCACGGTTACCGCATTGTACCACGGTTACCGCATTGTACCACGGTTACCGCATTGTACCACGGTTACCGCATTGTACCACGGTTACCGCATTGTACCACGGTTACCGCATTGTACCACGGTTACCGCATTGTACCACGGTTACCGCACGGTTACCGCATTGTACCACGGTTACCGCATTGTACCACGGTTACCGCATTGTACCACGGTTACCGCATTGCACCACGGTTACCGCATTGTACCACGGTTACCGCACGGTTACCGCATTGTACCACGGTTACCGCATTGTACCACGGTTACCGCATTGTACCACGGTTACCGCATTGTACCACGGTTACCGCATTGTACCACGGTTACCGCATTGTACCACGGTTACCGCATTGTACCACGGTTACCGCATTGTACCACGGTTACCGCATTGTACCACGGTTACCGCACGGTTACCGCATTGTACCACGGTTACCGCATTGTACCACGGTTACCGCATTGTACCACGGTTACCGCATTGTACCACGGTTACCGCATTGTACCACGATTACCGCATTGTACCATGGTTACCGCATTGTACCACGGTTACCGCATTGTACCATGGTTACCGCATTGTACCACGGTTACCGCATTGTACCACGGTTACCGCATTTTACCACGGTTACCGCATCGCACCTCTTTGATCCTCGCCATGGGTAGTTCTGCCAGCGGCCCCGGCAGCTCACACCCTCTATCCAGACACAGACAACTACCTTGTTCCATCCACCTCCACATCTCACCCCACCCACGGGTACCGCATCGCACCTCTTTGATCCTCGCCATGGGTAGTTCTGCCAGCGGCCCCGGCAGCTCACACCCTCTATCCAGACACAGACAACTAGCTTGTTCCATCGTCACCTCCGCATCTCACCCCACCCACGGGTACCGCATCGCACCTCTTTGATCCTCGCCATGGGTAGTTCTGCCAGCGGCCCCGGCAGCTCACACCACACCCTCTATCCAGACACAGACAACTACCTTGTTCCATCGTCACCTCCGCATCTCACCCCTCCCACGGGTACCGCATCACACCTCTTTGATCCTCGCCATGGGTAGTTCTGCCAGCGGCCCCGGCAGCTCACACCCTCTACCCAGACACAGACAACTACCTTGTTCCATCGTCACCTCCGCATCTCACCCCACCCACGGGTACCGCATCGCACCTCTTTGATCCTCGCCATGGGTAGTTCTGCCAGCGGCCCCGGCAGCTCACACCCTCTTATCCAGACACAGACAACTACCTTGTTCCATCGTCACCTCCGCATCTCACCCCACCCACGGGTACCGCATCGCACCTCTTTGATCCTCGCCATGGGTAGTTCTGCCAGCGGCCCCGGCAGCTCACACCACACCCTCTACCCAGACACAGACAACTACCTTGTTCCATCGTCACCTCCGCATCTCACCCCTCTCACGGGTACCGCATCGCACCTCTTTGATCCTCGCCATGGGTAGTTCTGCCAGCGGCCCCGGCAGCTCACACCCTCTATCCAGACACAGACAACTACCTTGTTCCATCGTCACCTCCGCATCTCACCCCACCCACGGGTACCGCATCGCACCTCTTTGATCCTCGCCATGGGTAGTTCTGCCAGCGGCCCCGGCAGCTCACACCCTCTATCCAGACACAGACAACTACCTTGTTCCATCATCACCTCCGCATCTCACCCCACCCACGGGTACCGCATCGCACCTCTTTGATCCTCGCCATGGGTAGTTCTGCCAGCGGCCCCGGCAGCTCACACCCTCTATCCAGACACAGACAACTACCTTGTTCCATCGTCACCTCCGCATCTCACCCCACCCACGGGTACCGCATCGCACCTCTTTGATCCTCGCCATGGGTAGTTCTGCCAGCGGCCCCGGCAGCTCACACCCTCTATCCAGACACAGACAACTACCTTGTTCCATCGTCACCTCCGCATCTCACCCCACCCACGGGTACCGCATCGCACCTCTTTGATCCTCGCCATGGGTAGTTCTGCCAGCGGCCCCGGCAGCTCACACCCTCTATCCAGACACAGACAACTACATTGTTCCATCGTCACCTCCGCATCTCACCCCACCCACGGGTACCGCATCGCACCTCTTTGATCCTCGCCATGGGTAGTTCTGCCAGCGGCCCCGGCAGCTCACACCCTCTATCCAGACACAGACAACTACCTTGTTCCATCGTCACCTCCGCATCTCACCCCACCCACGGGTACCGCATCGCACCTCTTTGATCCTCGCCATGGGTAGTTCTGCCAGCGGCCCCGGCAGCTCACACCCTCTATCCAGACACAGACAACTACATTGTTCCATCGTCACCTCCGCATCTCACCCCACCCACGGGTACCGCATCGCACCTCTTTGATCCTCGCCATGGGTAGTTCTGCCAGCGGCCCCGGCAGCTCACACCCTCTATCCAGACACAGACAACTACCTTGTTCCATCGTCACCTCCGCATCTAACCCCACCCACGGGTACCGCATCGCACCTCTTTGATCCTCGCCATGGGTAGTTCTGCCAGCGGCCCCGGCAGCTCACACCCTCTATCCAGACACAGACAACTACCTTGTTCCATCGTCACCTCCGCATCTCACCCCACCCACGGGTACCGCATCGCACCTCTTTGATCCTCGCCATGGGTAGTTCTGCCAGTGGCCCCGGCAGCCCACACCCGGCGTTGTTGACCAGCACGTCCACCCGCCCCGTTTGGCTGGTGATCTGCTTGACTGCTGCCTGTATGGGAGGGGAGGGGAGGCGGCGCAGGCACAGTACGGCAAACTCAGCAGCCCACACCCCCCGTTGAGTTGTTGACCAACACGTCCACCCGCCCCGTTTGGCTGGTGATCTGCTTGACTGCTGCCTGTATGGGAGGGGAGGGGAGGCGGCGCAGGCACAGTACGGCAAACTCAGCAGCCCACACCCCCCGTTGAGTTGTTGACCAACACGTCCACCCGCCCCGTTTGGCTGGTGATCTGCTTGACTGCTGCCTGTATGGGAGGGGAGGGGAGGCGGCGCAGGCACAGTACGGCAAACTCAGCAGCCCACACCCCCCGTTGAGTTGTTGACCAACACGTCCACCCGCCCTGCACGCATGATCTCCTTGACTGCCTCCTGTGGGGTGGGTAGAGGGGAGGCGGGGAGGCATGGTACCGTAATTTCAGCAGCTCACACCCCCCGTTGAGTTGTTGACCAACACGTCCACCCGCCCCGCTGCCCATGTCACCTCCTTCACTGCTGCTTGTGCGAAGATAGAGGTTAGGGGGAGAGGAGGAAAGACAGCCTGTCAAACCCCAAAGCCCACGCCCGGCGTTGATTTGTTGGCCAACACGTCCTGGAGATCGGATCGGATCCGATCAACCACGCCCCAAATTCCACCCGCCCCGCTGCCCATGGCAGCCCCCAGCCCGCGTTGCTGCACCCGTGACTTGCTTGACTGCTGCCTGTTGGGTGAAGTCAGAGAGGTGGATGGGGGGGAAGGATATGTTTTTTGTGAATTCTCAAAAAACATACTTGCTTGACTGCTGCCTGTAGGGGAAAGCGGAGAGGTGGATGGGGTGGAAGGGAGAGAGAGCTAGTCAACCCCGGCAGCCCTCACCCTGGCGTTGTTCACCAGCACGTCCACCCGCCCTGCTGAGGTTGCCACATCCTTCACTACTGCCTGTAGTGGTGGAGAGGAGAGGAGACGTGGGTGGGGGCGAAGGAGGCACAGTATGGCAATCCCAACAGCCCACCAAACTTGGCGTTGTTCACCAGCAAGCACGTGCTCCCGCCCTGCTGAGCTTGCCTCCTCCTTCACTACTGCCTGTTGGGGAGGCGGACGGATAGATCATAGAGGGGGGAAGGGGAGGTGGAACGGGGACAGTTAGCCAGTGGTCCCGGCAGCCCTCACCCCCTGTTGTTCACCAGCAAGGACGTCCTCCCGCCCTGCTGAGCTTGCCACCTCCTTCACTACTGCCCGTAGTGGAGGGAAAGAGGAGTAGTGGATGGAGGGCCTGCAGGAAAAGGAGGGGAAAGAGGGGGAGATGGAGAGGGAGGCAAGGAGGAGAGAGAGGGGGAGAAAGGGGGCGGAGTAAAGGGGGAGAGGAGGGGCGGAGGAGAGGGGGAAAGAGAGTGGGGAGGGAATGAAGCGGGGAGCGGCGGGGACGTGGGGGCGGAATGGCAGGGTCACCAGTCCAGCCAAAACACATCGTGAGTTGCTCACTAACGAGGACACATGCTACTAGGTCACAGCCATCGGATCACCTGGATGGACGGCTCAGATGTGACGTCGAGCGCAAGCGTGTTCACCCCTTTCTCCTTCAGCCCCTTCATCGTGTCGACTCGGCGTGACGTGGCGAACACGTTCGCGCCGCGGCGCTGAAACTCCCTAGCAAGTGACGTGACAGAAGAAAGCGTGACAATAAGCGCGTTAGTATCCAGCTTCAAATCCAAGGAATCCAAGAGCATGACGTGGAAATCGAGCGTGATTATAATGAGGTCGAGAATTGAAGACGTAAGCGGCTTACTCGGCGATAGCGTAGCCAATTCCTCCATTGGAGCACCCCGTTATAAGAACAACCTTCCCCTTTGCGTCTCGCTCCTTTGGCTTGGCCAACGCGCCGCCCATAGCGGGAAGGAACACACGAATAGTAGGCTCTTCCTACTACCGAGGCTTCGGAAAAGTGCGACCACTACCAGTCGGGAATGCTGAATGTAAAATGCACGAATTGAGACTTCGTGACTTCTCTAGGTCGACCTGAGGCAAAATACGTATTTCTTGAATCTCGACCAACAGCAACATGTGGATCCTCAAGCTGGAAACACAAATAGCTCGGTATATAGAAAGCGGTGAAGACTATTTTTCTCTCGGTGTCCAAAAAGCCATCTATTCAGGACGGACGGACACCATTGATTCGGAAGCCGCGTCGCGTATGGCGCGGACGGTTGCGATGGGACTCGGAGGAATCCAAAGCGCGGGAGACGTTGATTGACGGTTAGGGGGTGTCCAGTTCGTTCATTTCGGGGTTTTTAGTGCCAACACACGTCTCGAGGTTCAAAAATATTCACTGTACCTAAAAACGAATGCATTGTGAGTTGAGTCCCACCGACCTGTAATTTCAGGAGCGCGGACACGTTCTCCGCCACACGAATCAACAGTGCTCTGATCGCGTTCAAAACGAGGTAACTGTTTCCGTCGTCAATCATAGCTAACGAATTTTTGGGCAGGCGGGGGGTGTGTTGACGAGTGTAGCGAGCTACTGGCGAAATTGTGCAAGCGATACAGGGGGCGCTACTGTAGTGGCCAGGACGCGGTGCTGTACCCTTGTTCGTGTCCCCGCTGATTCCAGTAACGTGAGTCAGACGGCATGAGGTACGTGCAGGGGGCGTGCCGTTTTGTGAACGAAAGCTGATTGTGTCCGCAGGAGACGTTCAATACAGTGTTACAACAAAAAATGTGGTAACTGAGCGGGCTTACGAACAGTAAATGTACGAGCTGGACATCCCCTTAGATGACAGGTGACAGTTCCGCTGACAGCTCCGTTGGCGAGGTTGCGGTCAAGGCGATTTCGCGAGCTTCGTGAAGGTGTTACAAGTAACTCGTCGATTGTAAAACTTATGTTTGCTTGGAGGCGGTTCTGGTCGGTGCAGGTTGCATTTGCAAGTTTGCAAGAGCACACAGCCAGTGACGGTTTTTTAAAAACCGTGTTCAAAAACCTGGAAACAGGCATCGTTACAGCCGCCGTGTATGCTTACAGTAAAGATTTCACCATAACGTTGTACCTCCTTATATGTACATGGATCGAGTCGAGATCTATTCGGCGTGTAAACACGCATTGGGCCATCCCCCAGCCCTTGGTAACCTCCGTGCAGCAGATGTGCCCGTCCTCGCTTCGTTGTCTTCCGTTCAGCCAATAGGAACCTCCCAGTGCCACAAGAATCCTCGCCTGACACAATCCATACTGTAAAATCGACATCCATCGAACCGCACTCAAACGCACTCATTCCCCGCGGACTGACTGAATTTGGCGGCGCCGTTCCAGCCCACAGAGACTGCCGCAACAAATTCAAGCTGAAGCAGTGCATGTGGCTATAAATCTCAACAAGTTCTGAGCACATTCCAGGACTCCCAAGTGATTAGCTCGAGTGCTGTTCAGCTCTTCAGCAGCAATGGCTTCCTTCTTCCAAGTCCTTTCAGCCTTTCTTCTCCTCTCGTCTGCTCTCACCAGCTCGTTTGCTTCTCCCCATCACTCTAGTCTTGCAGAATCTTCGTCCACTGATCATGCTGCAGCTACCACCACAGCAGCAGCAGGCGAACCTGCTACAAACGAGATTCTCTCAAACGAGGATTCTGCAGCACCAAGGCGGGTGATCTTTGGCAAGTTCCCCGACCCCATCTGCAAGCGCTTTGGCGGATGCAGCGAACCCATTGACCCCATTGACCCCGTTGACCCCGTCCTCCTTCCATGCAAGCCGCCACGTCAACCGTGCCCTTGGGTGCTCGAGGATAGCTCAGTAGACACTGCAAAGCCCCAGTTTGGGTGCTGGGGACCCCAGATCTATTGCAACGGGAGTTGCTGTCTTGTAAGTTCACCACATCAGCTTATATTCAAAGATTCATTGCAAAGGTTCATTGCAATGGGAGCTGCTGCCTTGTGGGAATTTCGGGAGCTTCAACGATTCACAGCAATGAGAGTTGCTGTTTTTGGTGTGCACGTCACTCCACTCATGAAGGAAGTGTTTTGAGACGTCTCAAAACACCGCACGCATTCATCGGTCCCTAACATCGTCATGTAATCTCCACTTGGGCTTGAAATTCCTGCCCAGCCCATTCCAGGTTTGCCCTATTGTGACACGCCCTCTTTTCTAAAAGCTACTTGCAATTTCACTTCTTTTCTTCCATACCTCTTCTTTCCCTTCCCCACGAAAGCTCCTTGGGTTGCTGTCAGTGTTGCCAGAGATGCGAATCCATAGGGCTCACCTGTTGCCTGCCATCTAAGTGGAAAGGTCTATCGTCTCACTCCGTGTCTTCCCTCTTTCCCCCATCCTCCTTCCCGATTTTGCAGGGAAACTCACCGAGCTGCTGTGGTGGCCAGTGCTACCTGGGAGGAGAGTCCATAGGGCCTACCTGCTGCCTGCCGTCTCCCACCAGCGCCCCTTGAGTCATCTCGAAGACCCCTGACCTTACTTCATCTCCACTCCTCTATTCTCTCCCTCTCTGCCATACCTCTTCCCCCGTTTTTCAGGAAATCTCACCGCGTTGTAGTGGCGGCCAGTGTTGCCTGGGAGGCGAGTCCATAGGCGTCACCTGTTGCTTGCCGTCTGAATAACTGGAAAGGTCTATCGTCTCACTCCGTGCCTTCCCTCTCTCCTCCATCCTCCTTCCCATTTTCGCAGGGAAACTCACCGCGTTGCTGTGGCGGCCAGTGTTGCCTGGGAGGCGAGTCCATGGGCCTCACGTGCTGCCTGCCGTCGCCCACCAGCAACTCTAAACTCGACCCAATCCGACTTGCTAACCTACATGTTCAAACCCTCTGTTTTCTCCCTCTATGTCATACCTCTCCTTCTTGTGCCTCAGGGCAACTCCCCCCGTTGCTGTGGCGGAAAGTGCTGCCTGGGAGGCGAATCCATAGGGCTCACCTGCTGCCTGCCGTCTCCCAAAAGCGATCCCACCACTGCTGGCACCTGCTGCAGCACCCGCACCAGCTACTGCTGCGGCGGCACCTGCTGCAAGCACGGCACCACCTGCTGCAACGGCAAATGCTGCGAACCCGGCTCCACCTGCTGCAACGGCAAGTGCTGCCCGGGCGGCGTGAAATGCTGCGGCGGGCAGTGTGGCTGCCCGAAAAAATCCTCCTGCTGCGGCGGAAGCGTGTGCTGCAATGATGAGTTAAATCCCCAGTGCTGCAGCATCCCCGGCGTGAGAGGCGGGGAATGCTGTCCTGGGATTGACTATAACGGGGAGGTGACTGGCAGTTATTGCTGTGGCCGGCAGTGCTGCCAGGGATCCGATACTGAACCTCCCCGCTGCTGCTACTCGGCTAAGACTGGCCCGCGCTGCTGCAAGCGTCGCATCGGAATTCCCATTGATGTTCCCATTGGTCTCCCAATTGACCCGTAGACAAGCCGCTGAGAGGGTAGGGGGTGACTTTTGAGTCGAGGCTTTCAAGTCTCCTCTTGGGAATCACAACTTTGGAACCCTGCAAGGGAGTTGGACTTGCGAGAATCCGAGGAAGGGAAAATATAGAAAGAACCGAGTCACTCAATAAGGCTGAGGACACAACTTTGATGCGTCGAGGACGCATGAAAGGATGTGTGGAAGGATGAATGGCTGGAGCTTCGCTATGGCTTTGTGGTGGCTGGGCTGGTGTGATCTGTAGCATATGTGATGATGTATGTACATAATTGAATGAGGGAGGGAGGAGGATGGGAGGAGGCCATGTAAGGACTGCTTGGTGAATCTTCTGTAAACATTCTGTGCACCTTTCATGAACCTGCTGTGAAATTGTCTCAGTATGTTTCACTCGCGGAAGAAACATTTCTTTCAGTAAACCATGACCACAACACAAGTCTTCTTTTGAGTCTATTTAAAAGTAAATCTAGCTCTGCACCAATTCCAGTACTAACCTTGAACAAGCCTCACAAACCCTCACAAGACCGATAGTTCGAGATTTTGAAGTCCTGGTAAGAAAGCCCTTACACGAAACCCCTGACATGCAAGCCCCCACACGCAAGGCATGCCCACCCCAACCTCTGAACGACTGCAGGTTCCTCTCAGCCATGCCTTTGCCTTAATCAAACCGCCAAGCACGTACCTCTCGATTTGCAATTTACAACTTCAACCTCGATGTATACAGATCTTGCTGGTGCGTGGCTTACTCTATGTTCAAGTAAGCGACGCCTTGAAAGGGATCGGTTTGTGAGCTAGCCGTGAAACTCGAAAAGTTTCCAACATTGTGATTCACGAGGAGCAGAGTTTGAGAAAAAATTCTGCCGAAGCGATCAAATATTGTACGTACCACGCGTGAAAATACCCAGATTCGATTGACCTCTCTTAATGCTGGTGACCGCAACGCATTGCGTAAGCTCCATCCGAGTGGCTTCTGGGCCGTTAATAGGATGTATGGATTCCAATGGCACACGAAATGCTAATAACTGGCACTGCACAAAACAATACAAGTACTGCATCTGACAATCATGAGTAAAGCACGGTTGGAACTAAAGAGGTCGAGATGAAATGGTCTAGTGTTCCTGCAGAAGTGGGAAAGGTAGCTGTTGGGAACCAAAGCACAGCCAAATCCGAACCAAATTGGCAAGGGCTGAGCATCATACTATGTGTGCCAGGTTGATCGCGAGTCGCGACACCGATGCGCGTTTGCAAAATAGCGGGAAACCCTGGGAAGAGGGAATCCCAGACAAGAGAGGAATTCAGATGATGCGATACGGTATTAGTAAGCTACGTACACTAGATTCATGTTGCAACAGAACATAATTACACATTCTATTTAATATTTTATGCTGGTTAAGAGTGAAAAACAAATCAGTGTTCATTCAGAAGGGTCCATGAAGAAAGTGTGCTCAATGATTTCTTCTACTCTTTCTGGTGTAAACGCATAGAACTTGCATGATGTCAAGTCATCCCTGCAAGGCGTAACCATGTACAAGGGCATATTGGTGTGGAGTATGGGGTGGGGACGTATCGAGGAAAACACACACACACAAACACAGCAATTGCTCATGAGAACAGGCAAAAGCACCAATTAGCTCACACGGATACGCATCAATTTACATAATAACACTCTCTCCCACACACACTCTTCTCCCTCCCACACACACTCTTCTCCCTCCCACACCCACCAGTATGGCAGCAGCATCTTTCTGTATCGCTCCTTGATGCTCGTGGCCCACTTGGCCCGAATCTTCCGCCTCAGCCCATCATCAGGGATGGTCCAGTGCCTCTGCCTCTCTTGGAGCTCCTCAAACGCCGAGTTGAACCTCTTCAGACTGCGCGTTGAGGGACGATGATTGAGGCATTCATATTAGCACATCGTCAGGATGATCCAGAGGCACCCATAGAGCTCAGCCCCTCAAGGAGTGGCCCAATCCCTTTGCCTCTTTCAGAGCTCTGCAAGTGAGAGCTCCGCAAATGAGAGCTCCGCAGATGCAAACATTGAATCCTTTCAAGAGTGCACAGAGGGGTTTTACATGTCATGTTGCTCATCAACCCGTCCATCGCACTGAACGCTCACCAAAAGGTGTTGTCTGACAGATACATGTCATCTCAACGTTACATGTCATCTCAACGTTACATGTCATCCCAGCGTTACATGTCATCCCAGCGTTACATGTCACATGTAATCTCACCGTTGCATCTCTGCCTTGACATAATCCGCAGCAGTTCTGTGTGTTGGCTGAACCGCATCCTCATTGGTGCTCAGGGCCGTCATGACCTGATGGGGTGATGGGGTAGAAGGGAGTGGGATGCAGTGGTGGCTCACTCACGGTAGTCATGACCTCAATGCACATAGTAGAAGCACGAATGGGAAAACGAGTGAGTGGGTAGCTGAACTGCATCCTCGTTGGTGCTCAGAGCCGCCATGACCTGATGGGATGAAACCAGCAGGGATGGGTATGAAGAGAGGCGGGTAGCACAGTGGAAGAGGGGGAGTGAAGAGGTGGGTAGGAGGGGGGAAGGGGTTGGGGGGAGGATGAGAGGGGAGGATGTGAACGAAACGAGTGCATGGATGGCTGCACTGCATCCTCACTGGTGCTCATGGCCGTCATGACCTGATGGGGTGGGGCGACGATGCAATGAGGTCATGCATTAAGAACCTGTCCGACTGGTGCTCAAAAACCTCATTGCATCGAGAATCCTCTCACTGGTGCTCATGGCCGTCATGACCTGATGGGGTGGGGCGATGCAATGAGGTACAGTCGGACGGTTTTTTTTTTAGTCGACTCAAAAGCCACCTCGATGCAATGAGGTACAGTCGGACAGATTTATGAGAATTCTCAAAAACCAGCTCGTATGAAGAGAGAGGGTTTAGAGGGAGGAAATGGCATGCACGCACCCGTCTCACCTTGAGCAGGGAGAGAGACTGGAAAGCTCCTGCATGCTGCTGCACCACTCTGAACCGCACTCTACCACCACTCGGTCGTCATGCAGGTCTGCTAACGCCACTTGCCGATGTGCCAGGCCCACACGACACGACTCAGCTGAACCCCGTTTGGAAAGGTTGCTTTACGAGCGTGTCCCAGTCTCACCTTGAGTGCCCCCGTCTGTCTCACCTTGAGCAGGGCGAGAGACTGGAAAGCCCCTGCATGCTGCTGCACCACTCTGTCGTCATGCAGGTCTGCTAACGCCACCATGAGGTCCTTGGCACCCTCCCTGATGATCAATGGGAGGAGAGGGAAGAAAAGTATGCTGAACCACATGTCACCACTCTGCACTGCACTCTACCACCACTCGGTCGTCATGCAGGTCTGCCAGCACCACCATGAGGTCCTTGGCGCCCTCCCTGATAGCGAAGGATACCAGAAGGGCGAGGGAAGGAGGCTGAACCAGTGTGTACCACTATCCTCCATCACCACCTGGTCGTCATGCAGGTCTGTCTGCCAGCGCCAGCCACCATGAGGTTCATGGCACCCTCCCTGGTGGGTGAAGGAGAGAGGGGGAGAGGGAGGGAGGCTGAACGAATCTACACTGCTCTGCAATATCCTCCATCACCACCCGGTCGTCATGCAGGTCTGCCAGTGCCAGCCACCATGAGGTCCTTGGCGCCCTCCCTGGTGGTTGAAAGGAGGGAAACGCAAGGAAACAAGAGGTATGAAGGCTGCACCACTCTGAACCGCACTCTACCACCACTCGGTCGTCATGCAGGTCTGCTAGCGCCACCATGAGATCCTTGGCGCCCTCCCTGGTGGGTGAGGGGAGAGGGAGGGAGACTGAACAGGTCTGCACTGCTCTGAACCACTCTCCACCACACGGTCATCATGCAGGTCTGCCAGCGCCACTATGAGATCCTTGGCGCTCTCCCTGGTGGTGAAAGGGGGAAACGGGAGAAAAGAATGCTGAACCATTCTGCACCGCAGTCAACCACCACCCGGGCGTCATGCAGGTCTGCCAAAGCCACCATGAGGTCTTTGGAGCCCTCCCTGGTGGGGGTTTCACGGGAGTGAGAGGGAAGAAGTCTGCTGCACCACACTCTACCACGCTGCACCGCACGCTACTACCACTCAGTCGTCATGCAGGTCTGCCAGTGCCACCATGAGATCCTTGGCGCCCTCCCTGGTGGGTGAGGGGAGAGGGAGGGAGATTGAACAGGTCTGCACTGCTCTGCACCACTCTCCACCACACGGTCATCATGCAGGTCTGCCAGTGCCACCATGAGATCCTTGGCACCCTCCCTGGTGGTTGAAAGGAGGGAAACGCAAGGAAACAAGAGGTATTAAGGCTGCACCACTCTGAACCGCACTCTGCCACTACCCAGTCGTCATCCAGGTCTGCTAGCACTACCATGAGATCCTTGGCGCCCTCCCCGGTGGGAGAAGAAGAGGGAACGGGTGTGATACCACACAGGAGAGGGAAGAATGCTGAAGCAGTCTGGACCACCCTCTTCTCCTCCATCACCACTCGGTCTGGTAAGAAGTCTGCACCACTCTGCACCACACTCAATATATAGAATGAGGAGGGAAGGAGGCTGATTGAACTGCTCTGAACCACATTCCACCCAACCCTCTTCTGCGGCCACACATCCCAGCTAGCAGCAGCGGCATACCTGTATGTGCTACCACTCTGAACCGCTCTGCACCCGAATCTGCAGACATACCTCTCCGAGCCACCATGACTCTCTGCCAGCACTGGCAGCGGCATACCTTCTCATAGCAGACAGGTTCTTTTCAATGTTCGGCAATATGCTTCCGCTCTGAACTGCTCCGCACCACAGCTTGCTATAGCTCTCTTTTGGAACACGTGTTTTCAATCAACTGAATTAACACCACTTATTGCAGCCATGCAATTCATACAGCACAGCGGCAATGGCATACCTTCTCACAGCAGACAAGTTCTTTTCAATGCCCTGTGCGTGCCACCCGTGCCAGTCGTTCCTGCCCGAGTAAAAAAAAGAAAGAAAAAAAGAGATAAAAACCAGGTAAAAAACAGTCAAGTCAAAAGCCTTAAAAAATATTTGTCAACTGGAGTGGGCAATGTCTAGACAGCTTGAAGAAAAACATCACCCAACTCACATGGACTTGACAAGATAGTTAAGGTTGTTCATAGGAAAGAGCTGCTGTAACTCCTCTTCTGGGTAGAGCCTTGCTCTAATCTCTAGGTTCCTCCTTAGAGCCATCACCAGCTGAGGCTGAGTTGTCTCACTCTATACGCTCCTCCCTGTCCTTCCATCTTGCTAGGAGGACCACTCACATGGACTTGACGAGATAGTTGAGGTTGTTCATCAGGAATAGCTGCTGTAACTCCTCTTCTGGGTAGAGCCTTGCTCTAATCTCTAGGTTCCTCCTTAGAGCCATCACCAGCTGAGCTGTCTCGCTCTCCAGGCTCCTCCCGACACCTGGCGCCCTCCCGTTTGCTGACATGGCAGATGCTGACGTGGCGTTCATGGTGGCGGCGGCGGCAGCAGCAGCGATCGGATTGGAGGAGGCGAGAGGGGAGAGGGAGGAGGAGGCGGGGAGAGAGAGGAGGGCAAAATCTGCTGTGAGGGAGCTGGGGTCTTCGTCTGGATGAGCCTCAAGAAGAGAGAAGAGAGATGTGAGGGAATCCACGTAGCTTCTCCTTCCTTGCCTGCTCAGGTGGGGTTTGAGAGGGAAAGGAGGAAAGCGGCAAGGGAGGAAGGGAGGGGTGGAAGGATAATAAGTTGAAATGTGTGCTGTGAGGGAGCTGGGGTCTTGGACTGGATGGGCTTAAGGAGAGAGAATATTGACGTGAGGAATCAATGTATCTTCGTCTGCCTTGCATGTGCAGGTGGGTTGGGGTTGGGAGGGGAAGAAAGAAGAAGAAGACAACGAAAGGGAAAGCAGAGGTCGTCAAGTGCGTGGGTCTCGAGAAGGGAGAACAGGGAGGGAGGTGAGGGAGTCAACATAGCTGCACTGTCCTTGCCCGTGCAGGTAAAATGGGAGCAATGGGGACAATGGGAAGGTAAGTAGGGAAGGAGGAACATGGGGTAGGGAAACAACTACCTTGTCCACAGTTCTTGTCCTTGTGTTCCCTGTTATTGTCTTCGTCTAGCTCATCCTGTTATTTGTACTTTCCACAGCCCACAGCCCCCCCCCTTCCACTAACCCCCCTCTCCACAGCACTTGTCCTTTTGTCCCCTGCTCTCATTCACTCTTCCTCCCCCTCCCCCCCTCAGTCCCATGCACAGTTGCATGTAGCTGCGGATATAGTTGGCAACGTAGCTCGTAATTGAGTCCACAGCCCCCCTCTCTTTCCACTCACCCCCACTTCTGCCCCCCCTACCCTCACTCAGTCCTGCCCCTCCTCACCCCCCCTACTCCCACGCACCGTTGCATGCAGCTGCGGATATAGTTGGCAACATAGCTCGTGATTGAGTCCACAGCACCCCTTCTCAGCACTCACCTCTCCGTTCCTTGGCTTACCATTACTCCCATCCCCCACCCCCTTTCCCCCCCACCACGCTCACCGCTGCATGTAGCTGCGAATGTGGTTGGCAACGTAGCTCATGATCGAGTCCACAACACCCCCTATCCTGTCCCACTCAACCCTTTCTAACCCCCACAAACCCCCGCGCACCGTTGCATGTAGCTGCGGATGTAATTCGCAACATAGCTCGTGATCGAATCCACAGCGCCCCCTCGCGGCACAATCTCATAAACCGACTCGTCTGGTGCCACCGCCGTGCTGCTGTTGCTGGTGGCACTGCGCGTGAGAAAGCTGAGGGGTAGGACAGAAAGGGCGTGGGCCCAGTGGGGTGGGGATGGGTGCAACATTTGAGATCTCATAAACCGACTTGTCTGGTGGTGCTACTGCCGTGTTGCTGTTGCTGGTGGCGCTGCGAGTGAGGAAACTGGGGGAAGGACAGCAGAACAGGGAGAAAAGGGTTGCTGCTGTTGCTGATGGCGCCGCGAGTGAGGAAACTGAATAAGAGGGCAGAGCAGAGATTCGAAGGGGAACAAGGGCGAGCAAGGGTAAAGGGACGGTTGTGACATGTGTGCACAAGACTTATCAGGCATGATCTCAGAACTAGGTGACTTTTGAGTCGACTCAAAAGTCACCTCTGTGACATGTGTGCACAAGACTTATCACAGAACTTGGCAGGAACAGGCTGCGCATGGCATCAGATCAGCAAGATTCGAAGCAGCAGAGTCCTCACGAAGTCGCTTGAGGCGCTGGAAGCACGCTGGTGCTAGTGCTTCCGTCATTCAAACGGCGCTTACCTCGTTCACCACTCTCCCCTGCCCCTACCACTCACTTCAGGGCTGCCTTCTTGGCAGGAACAGGTTTCCGCATGGCGTCAGCGAGTTTAGAAGCTGCAGAGTCTTCCAGTAAGAGTTGTAGGCACTGGAAGCACGCTGCCTTTGCTGCTGCTGCTGCTGCTGCTGCTGCCGCTGCTGCTCTCACCACTGCAGGCATTAACCAGGACTGATACTCACCTCAAGGCTGCCTTCTTGGCAGGAACTGGTTTCTGCATGGCATCAGCGAGGTTAGAAGCTGCAGAGTCCTCAAGCAAGAGCTTGAGGCGCTGCTGGAAGCACGCTGCCACTGCTCCCGCCACCGCCATACAAACAGCACGTACCTCATTCACCAGTCTCCCCTGCAACGCTTCCACTCACCTCAGGGCTGCTTTCTTGGCGGGAACGGGTTTCCGCATAGCATCAGCGAGATTAGAAGCAGCAGAGTCCTCCAGTAAGAGCTTGAGGCGCTGGAAGCATGCTGCCACTGCTCGCCCCAGCAGCAGCGGCAGGCCCTCACACGCCCCCCACACATTGCTGACCTTGAGGTCCTGAAATGTGGCAGCGAGCTGGGAGAGGGAGACAGGACAGACATAGGCAAAGAAGAGGGGTGTGGGAATACTCTGGATAGAATGTAGGGGAAAGCCTGAGGCGCTGTAAGCGAGACGTCACAACTGCTGCTCGCCCCAGCAGCATCGGCAGGCCCTCACACGCCCCCCACACGTTGCTGACCTTGAGATCCTGAAAGGTGGCTGAGAGCTGGGGTGTGGGACGATAAACATTGGCAGAGAGTAGGGAATGGAAGGGATGTTGGGGAAAAGCATGAGGCGCTGGAATTGCGACGCCCATGCTGCCACTGCTCGCCCCAGCAGCAGCGGCAGGCCCTCGCACGCCCCCCACACATTGCTGCCCTTGAGGTCCTGAAATGTGGCAGCGAGCTGGGAGAGGGGAGAAGAATTTTGGAAGAGAGAATGGGGTGTGTAAGCACAGGGGGTGCATGCATGTGCAGAGCGACGGTTACATACACAAGGGCATGGGCTGAGAGATGGGAGAGGGGAGAGACATTGGCATAATCTCTTGAACCACTTAGTAAGCGTCCAGCAACGAAAACAGCTCCTCTGCCCTTACATTCACACGCTTCTCAACCCTTACAGTCACATCACGTCACCAACAGTCACACCATCTACAGTCCAGTAACATACCTCCGGCACGATCTCTTGCACCACTTGATAAGCGTCTAGCAGCGAGAACAGCTGTTCTGCCATCCGCTGCTACACACCACATGCACACCCACACGCAGTGCAACAGGGGCCACACACCCATATGCAGAGCAAACCCATACCCCCACACACACACCTCGGGCATGATTTCTTGCACCACTTGATAGGCATCCAGCAGCGAGAACAGCTGTTCTGCCATTCACACACTTTTCAGCCCTAAAGTCACACCATCTACAGTCCAGTAACATACCTCCGGCATGATCTCTTGCACCACTTGATATGCATCCAGCAATGAAAACAGCTGCTCTGCCATCCGCCGTGATACGATGGCCCTCAGCACGTCCGCTAGAAACAAAACCCGCCGCCCGACGCCGCCGTCCTCCAGCACGCTCCTTAGGGCGGCACGCCTCTGAGTGTCCATGCCCTTCCAAGCCTCGTTGGCCGTCTGGTGCTCCATGGGGATTATCAACGCTCCCTGTGCAAAACGAGGAGACCAACAGGGAAGGGAGTGCAATAGGAAGGTAAATACTCACCCACAGCACCTCTCCCTCCCCTCTGTCTATTCATCCGTCCCCTTCCAAGCCCTGTTGGCCGTTTGGTGCTCCATGGGGATTATCAGTGCTCCCTGCACCAAAGGGGCATGGTCAGGGGTCAGTGGGGGAAGTCAGGGCATCAGAGACACATACATAACTTTTGCACCTCCTGCCTCTGTGTGTCCATCCATCCATGCCCCTCCAAGCCTCGTTGGCCGTCTGATGCTCCATGGGGATTATCAACGCCCCCTGCATGAAACGAGGAGACCAATAGGGCATGGAGTGCAATGGGGAAGGGGCTTACGATGATATAAGCAGCCTGATCCATTTCAACCATTTCTCTAATGCCTACTCCAGCACTGCTGATTGTGTGTAAACAGAGATGTTTTGAGACGTCTCAAAACATCTCTGTTTACACGTGGCAAGCATATCTCTAATGCCTGCTCCAGCACTGTTGATTGAACTTCTGAGAATTCTCAAAAGTTCAATCAACCCATTTCTCTGATGCCTGCTCCAGCACTCGCCAACGAGCCTCGTGAACCTACCCACCTCCCTCACAGTATATCAGACTTACAATGATAGAAACGGCCTGCACTTATTCCCTTGAAGCCTTCTTCAGCACCCTCCACAGTGCCTTGTGCCTTGCGAATCACCCCTTTCTTGTGGGATTCTGCAGGGAGACTCACAATGATATAAGCCGCCTGCACCCACTCCTTGGAAGCCTGCTCAAGCACTCTCCACGGCGCTTCATGAATCACCCCGGGACTCAGCACATCCTCCAGCCTCAGTTCATCCATCAGGGCTTTAACTGCCTCCACGCGCACAGACCTGTAAGCTTCCACGCACTTTCCTCCCGCCCCTCCTTGCACCATCCTCCCAGCCGCCTCATTCAACCACCGCCCCGTGCTCACAGGAAACAGCTCAGGAACCTTCCTCCTCTCCTTCCTCCTCCCCTCCTCCTCCTCACCTTCCCCACCAGCCTTCTCGTCCCCTTCCAAGTCCCCTTCTTTTCTCCCCTCCCTCCTCCCCCCCCTTCCCTCGCCCCTCGCCTCCCCCCTTTCCCCTGGACTCAAAAGTCCCTCATCCTCCCCATCCGCCCCTCCTCTCCCCTCTCTGCCCCCCCGCCCCTCCCGCCCCTCCCCCTTCTCCTCCCCTTCCTCCCCTGCGGAATCCCCACTCCCCACGTGCAGGAACTCCGCCTGGAACAGCCTCTTCAGCTCGTCTACACTGAAGCGGGCGGACGCTTGCTTGCTGGGGGGAAGGGCAGGGAAGAAAGGGGGAGAGAGGGGGGGGGTGAGGTGAGGAGGGGCAAAGACGTGCACTAACTCCGCCTGGAATAACCTCTTGAGCTCGTCCACTGAAAAACGCGCGGATGCCTGCTTGCTGGGGGAAAAGGAAAGCGGAAGACGGGAAGGGGGGGTGGGGGGGGGGGGGGAGTGGGGGAGGGTGTGGGGAGGGGCGGAGAGGAAGCATGCGCTGCGCACTAACTCCGCTTGAAACAGCCTCTTGAGCTCGTCCACTGAAAAACGCGCAGAGGCTTGCTTGCTGGGGGGGAAACGTGGGAGACGGGCACAGGGGGTGGGTGGGGGAGGGTGAGGGAAAAGGAAGCACATGCAGGAACTCCGCCTGGAACAGCCTCTTGAGCTCGTCTACACTGAAGCGGGCAGAAGCCTGCTTGCTGGGGAAAAGGCAAGGGGGATTGAGGTAGGAGGGGGATACGGGAAAAGGATGCACGTGCAGGAAAGGAACTCCGCCTGGAACAGTCTGCTCAGCTCGTCTGCACTGAAGCGGGTAGAGGCTTGCTTGACCAGCAAGCAAATAGTAATCCAAATAGAGTACCCTGCCTGCCAGCTCTCACTCAACTCCTGACTTAACACCTCCTCCCCTGCGCCTCTTAAGAATGTCTCTTAATTCTTAGTCCAGATCCTCCATGGCAGTCCGCAGCAGCATGGCCGCCCTCCCTGGCACAGCACTACTTACCCTTTTTCTCACACTCTCGTCGCTAAACCAGCAAACTCTCACCTGCGCCGCTTAAGAATGTCTCTTAGTTCGTAGTCCAAGTCCTCCATGGCAGTCCGCAGCAGCATGTCCGCCCGGCGCCCCGACTCCTTCTCCCCCACCTCCGCCAGCACCTTCCGCACGTTCAGCAGCAGATCAACCACTGGGAGGTACTCGTCTAGTTTCCCATGGGGCCCTGCTGCAATCATCGCCTCAATCTGAGAGGGAGGAAGGGAGGGAGGGGAAGAGCATTCGAAGAGGGTTGTGGGGTTACTCCTTCCTGCCCCACCTCCGCCAGCTCCTTTCTGACGTTCAGCAGCAGGTCAACCACTGGCAGGTACTCATCTAGCTTGCCGTGTGGCCCTGCTGCAATTATCGCCTCGATCTGAGGGAGGAAGGGAGGGGAAGAGCAATAGAAGAGGGTTGTGGGGTTACTCCTTTTCCCCCACCCTTTCACCCCCCACCTCCGCCAGCACCTTCCTCACGTTCAGCAGCAGGTCAACCTCCGGCAAGCATTTATCTAGTTTACCATGGAGCCCTGTTGCGATCATTGCCACAAATTCCTGTTGAACTGAACCCTCCTCAACCCCTCTTTGACCTTGACTTGATCATTCACCAACTTGCTCACCTGACTCAACAGCTCCGATACTTGCTCCAAAATGTTCTCCTTATCCTCCTCCTCCGCCTCCTCCTCTCCCTCTCCTTCCCCCTCCCCTTCCTCCTCCACTTCCGTTTCCTCCTCCTCTACCTCCTCCGCCTCAAATTCCGTTTCCGTCTCCTCCACCTCTGTTTCCGCCTCTGTTTCGACCTCTGTTTCAACTTCCGTCTCTACTTCCGTCTCAACTTCCGTCTCGAATTCCGTTTCCGTCTCAGCCTCCCCCTCCGTTTCAGTTTCCGTTTCAGACTCTGGCTGGGGGACCGGACGCCTGTACGGAACCGAGCCGCCGCCGCTTTGCCGCTGCTGAGCTGGCACCGGCGGGTTTCTTTGCCAGTTGTTCCGATCGTACGGTTGTTGCTCCCTGGTATCCCGCGAATCACGCTGGTTCGAGTAACGCGGTTCGTACTGTTCATCCGGGTCGTACGCGTCTCTAGAGTTTTGCTTTCCGCGGGAGGGCGGAAGTTCTTCTAACGAAGCCTGGGGTCTGCGTGGCTGTATCGGGGGAGCCTGACGTGTCTGCTGCAGTTTCTGCTGCTGCTGCTGCTGCTGCTGCTGCTGCTGTTGCTGCTGCTGTTGCTGCTGTTCGGGACGGAGAAGCTGACGTGGCTGATGATGTGGAAGAGAGGGAAGCGCACGTGGCATGTCGTCATCTTCGTCCCAGGAATTGTTGCCGGGCCCGCCTCGGACGGGACCAGGGCGTTGCCGAGTATCCTGAGGGATGAAGAGGGAATAACATTTTTCATTCGACGCACTTGAGGCGCTTCAAGAGGGAATAATATTTCTCGAGAAGGCCGTTGTTTGAGGCGCCCCAAAAATCGTATCCTGGCGGACGAGAAAGGAAGATATACTTGAGTGAACTTAAAAGACGAGCCGCGTTCTTTTTTTTACTCGATTCAAACATCGTTGTCATGTCGACTATCCTGGTAGACGAGAAAGGGACAACTCTCTGAGTCGACACAAGTAAGCAGCTAAACGACGACGGGGAACAAGCAGCCAGCCATACACGCGGAGATTAACGAGCTCGCGGGGTGGCTAGCGGAGAGTTTCAGGACCTTAAGAGGATGCTCGCAGCCCTACAAGCAGCCACTAGCGATTTAAATATAATGGGCTAAAAAGAGATCCTTGGGAGTGGTCTCAAAAGTCCAGCGCATTTTCATCGATGCAGTGAGTCAAGTGCAGACAAGAAGACTACAATGCGAACGATTGAGAGCAAGGTGCCGTTGGAACGTGAAGCGGAGAAGCCAAAGGACAAAATGGCTCAACGATCCTGCGCGATCGTTCCAATGGTACCTTGCTCCACGATCGTTCCACGTTGGCTCCACGATCCTGCGTACCTTATGCATGGCGGTGAGTCGCTCGCAATATCATCCGCTAATACACCGGAACCGAAAGACACCGGAAGACACTGGAAGTCACCGGAACCGTAAGCCGAAAGGACGAAAGCAGCACGGAAATAAACTCTCTAAACGCTTCCCGAGCGAGAAACTGTTGAACAACCAACTTTAGGAACTATCAGCCTTCAAGACTATATGAGTGCCAGGTGCGAAAGGCATCAAAGCGCGTGCTGCTTCGCATTGCTCCCCGGCCGCAGTGCTCCGCACACCGCTAATCGCAAGGAGGACCTAGGACCGACATGCTGGATGGATTCTCTCCGCGTAAGCTATACGTGGTAGTGGTATGGTTTCCCTGAGAAAAAAAACTTATGTGCTCGATCTTAGCTGATGAAATGCCGACTTGGTACACAGCCCATCTTCTATTTTCTCCGTTGTTCAATTCAGTCAGTTGATAGTTCTTTGCCAAAGAAATCCATGGCTGCGGTAACATCGATGACATTGCAAAGCGATTCAAAGAGATGGAGAAAGACGGGGAGGAGTAACGGTACAGCAAGGCAAGACAAGGTGAAATTTGCTGCCATTTGGTTGGGTACAAATACGAAGCTGCTTGTGAGGTTTGGATGAGTGGCGAGAGTGATTTTACCGAGAGAAATGCACCAGAAGCTCGTGCCCGCTGCGCGTCGTACCTGGTCTCCAAGGCTGGTTTGGTTGAAAAGTGAGGCGAGGAAAACGGTTACTGTTCAGTTCGCGCGTCGAGAGTTGTAATTCGGTTAGGACCGTTACCTTAGTTGTCGGCGTTGGTACACTGCAATACACTTCTTCAAGAGTAAGACTTACACATTCCATTTCGATCCCAAGTGTACATTTAGGTAAGATACACGCAAAACCTACGGTACAAGCTATGCAGTTTATGCACTAGCTACCGGCTTAAACCTAATCTCCGCTGGCAAAAAGGCGAGAACGTCGGTGGGGAGTAATAAGAAAGTATCCAGGAAAGAGTCGTTCACAGGAGGCACACGTGCTACTCCCACAAGGGTACATTTCCCAGAAGCGTCAAGCCTTGCGCCTTTTGCCGAGCGCATGGGCCCAGAAGAGTTTTCAGTGGTTAATATTGTTTCTACAGTAAGCGGTGGTGCAGTGTAGATGGGTCCTGCTGTGACGAAGAATTTAGAGATGAAGGTAAGCTCCACCTGAAAGAGGGGTGTGTGGAAAATGGAGGTACGATAAGGGAAAGGAGAGGAAGATGATAAAGCTGCTCATGTAAATAACCCCCATTCTTCGATGCAGTGCAGCCTTATCCTCATGAAATCCCTTGCTTCCTTTTGAGTCAAACCAACTACCATGTTATACCCCACACCCCCAAAGCAACACCCTTTCCCCTTCCCTCCCTTTTCCTCTGCTACAAACTCCCCCTCAGTCTCCCTTGATTACACCCCCTCTCCCTTCATTACACCAAACTCCCCTCTCCATTACAATCCTCATCTCTACCAATCCATTCACCTCCACCACAATACAGCACCTATAGACCCATTCCTTGGGAGTTTACAAACGAACTCTGGGAACATTTCCGGGCTTCCAGTGCACACCTTGCCTTGCCAGTCGACCTCTCGAGGCAGCCCCTTAGCTCCGCGACCATAGGGGGCATCTCCGTGCTTCCAAGCCATAGGAAATAACCAGAAAGCACAAAATTATCTCCTCGATCCCAGGAAGACCCACCTTGCCAGTCGACCGCTCGAGGTAGCCCCTTAGCGCCGCGGGAGCGATTTCAATCTTAAGCGGCGGGGGAAGCGGAAGCCCCAGGAACCGCGTCGTATCGTACCGCAACGGGGGGATGTTCAGCGTCTGTGGGTCAAAAACTATCTCAACGCGATCCGACCCGTCGTTTAAATCCGTCGCGGTTCCCGAGCCGCCTCCCCCCTTGACGCCGCCGGGGCTGTAGCTGAAATCGGGGTAAATCGCGACTCCAAGACCGCAGTTATCGCCGATTTGAATCTCCACCGTGGATCCCGGAGGGCACGGGGGGATGACGGCAGTGCCTAGGGAGAGTGACGTGGACTCCGGGGAAGCTGACGTGGAAGGCGGTGCGAGCAAGGTCGCGGTAAGTGCGGCGGACGAGAGCGAAACGAGAGAACGTCGCGAGAGGAGGCCATCCGTTACTAGACGCTCCGGCACCGTGAAATCTGAGCCGTCCAAGCTAGCCTGCTTCGGGAATGAAAATGAAGATGGGTTTGAGTCGGAAGCTTCATCGGTGGTAGGGAGGGTTCGCGCTCGAGCTTGCACTGAAAGCGTCCGGATCGCCTTTGGGAAATGAGCTCTAACATGCACTGGAATCCGCGTCGAGACTCCAATGATCCGATGCCGGCGATCAATACCAGGCGAATCCCGCCGCGCTAAGCGGCACGGGATGGTCGCGCTGGCTGTGGTGCCGCCGCCGCTGATTGCGGCAAGTTGGGAATGCGCGATCATGGGGAAGATGGCTGACGTGGCAGGGCTGGAAGGGAGAGCCAAAAGAGACTGGATGTGGCAATTCGTCAGGTGGTGAGTGCGAGGAGATTATCCTCGGTATACGGCTGATATACTTCCAACTGGAAGCTCTAAGTGGCTTGATGGATTATCCAACTTGAAGTTCCACCTTCGATGACTCCTCTATAGTGGCTTGAAATACACTGGCAAGACAAATACCATTATCACTTGTATTGCAAAAACAGTGCACTGCTCAATATTAGAAGCAAAAGGTGTGCTTTTGTAAGTCTAACGTATCAATCTAGTGATTCCAGAACCTAGAGACATCAACTTTGTATAGCGCCTCAAATGTTATCTAAAGTGAGGTCAACTATTGGTCGGATTGGCCCAACCACTGCACCTCACAGCATCACCATTATCACCACTTCAGACCCTCTCAGTCCTCCTCACCTTGTTTCCAACATATCCGGTGACCGCCTTTCAACGAATGTGTGTTCTAAGGCAGATCAATGTAACGCAAGGTCTGGCGACCACTCGACCTTCTTCAACGCGTTTCCTCTGTGAAAGGAGTCCTTCCCGCTAATGATGAAGTGTCAGAGGCAGGCGAATGTGGAGCCAGAACAGACGAAGGGCTCCACCAACGGCCAGGATGCAACGCCTTCTCAGATGGCAAAGAGCCAGGTAGAATCAACGATGACTGGAACATCATTGGGGCGGCTGATACAGGGGACCGCAGTGGGGCAAGCGGTGACAGCGGACGCTGGGGTTGCAGGCGCAAAGAAACCGGAATTTCTTCCCAACCGGAAACTTTGCCTTCTTCCTCCTCTTTTATCACCCTCAGCTCCTCACAATCCTGTGCCCTCGCCTGCACCAGCAGCATATGATTCAGCTCTGTTGACGTCACAGCTGCTCTTGTTGCCGTTGGTATCACAGCTGCAGGTACAGCCATCACTTCTCCCTCCTTCCAGCTTTGACCCTCTGAGACTTGGCTCTTCGAGCTTACCCCCAACGTGGGAAGATGCAGAGCGGAGAGGCAGGAGCAGAGGAGCGAGCCAAGGGCTTGTAGGTCGACAGAGCAAGCCATCGGCTCCCTGTGACGCTTCTTTGCTGCAGCGGCAGGAGGAGGAGTAGGCAGCAGTTACAACGGAGGAATGGGCAGGAAAATGATTTCATTGATCCAGCACATACATCACCGACTGAGTATAAAGTGTCGGGAAGAGGCTAAAACTAACTCTGGATCCATTGCTACTCCGATCATATCAGCCCTACACTATTTCTGGGCATCGTGTGTGCAGCACGAGAAGGAGCAAACGAGGTGGTGCTTGAGGCGCCTTGGAAGTGGCTCACCCCCGATATAACCCTTGACAAGGGGCGTCTCAAGCACCACCTCACCCGCGTACAGCGAACGCCACGCAGAGAACACCTGATTCGAAAGAAGTTCGCCACAGCTAGCGGCACATGCGCAAGCAGCACCGAAAAATGGCCAAGCAGCAAAGGCAAGTCCCCGAGCAGCCGTGCTTGACTGAGAAAACGAAGTCTGGTCATAGCTTCACAGCGAAATTCACCCGTGGTAACCAGGCCTTCACGCGCTCTGGAACGAATCAGGCTATAGCGATGGCAACCGAACCGACCTGAAGTGACGTGTGAGCCGTGGCGTTCCCCACGTCGGCACAAGATAATCCAGTTGTGGCGGTGGCACCGGCAGCAGCAACGCCAAGCGCCGATATATCAATGCGAAGTTCCGCAGACGACACATGCGACGCTGTTTCACAGCAGGCGCCGCTCGGTCGCACGGCTGTCGCCGTCGTCGCATTCTCTTCGTTCCCCAGCCACGCCCTGAACGAAGGTTGATTCGCAGAAACGGGTAACAGCTTGTGAGATCTCGCCGCCTTGCCGTCCACTGAAACGAGCGTG